TTCGATATCGAGGAACACAGAGAGAAAATATTGTTTATGAACAAAGGCGTCTCTGATCTGTGCCTCGATACGAACGAGGTGGTCTGTGGTGGATCTACTTTCTCGAAACCCGGACTGAAATGGGTCGAGCAAATTGTTTGTTTCAAGGATATGTACAAGTCGACAGTTTATCATTTTTTCGAAGACTTTGCACAAGCAGCTTGTAAGTGCAATAGGTCTATAGCTTGAAGCTAAAGAAGGGTCCTTGCCCTCTTTCAAAATGGGAATAATAATAGCCTCTTTCCAGGAGGTAGGAATAGTGCCAGAAAGCCAGATAGCATTGTATAAACAAAGTAAGGTTTTTCGTGTTTCGGCTGGTAGGTTTTTTAACATTTCATACACCACACGGTCAGAACCTGGGGCAGAAGTGCTGCAGGAGTTTAGAGATGTTCGGAGTTCAGCTAGACTGAAATCTTGGTTATATCCCTCGTATCTAGTGCATTTGTGTTCGAGTTTCTGTTTTTCTATTCTTGTTCTGTATTTTTGGAAAGTGTCAGTATAGTGGGATGAGCTGGATACCCGTTCAAAGTGTGCCCCGAGGAAGTTTGCCTGATCTTCCAAGGTATCACCTTGAGTGTTTACGAGTGGAAGTGTGTGTACCTGTTTCCCTGCTATCCTACCGACCATGTTCCAGACTTTAGCCTCCTGTGTGTATGAATTGATCCCTGACAAAAACTTCTGCCAGCTTTCTCTTCTGGCCTGCCAACGCGTTCTCCTTCCTTGAGACTTTATTTTCTTGAACGTGTCAAGATTTTCCGCTGTTGGCGAGTTGCGCAACAATCTCCATGCCCTGTTCTGTTCCTTTCGCGCATTACGACACTCCGTGTTCCACCATGGGACGTGTCGTTTGCCGGGCATTCCAGATGTTTGCGGTATGCACCTGGCTGCTGCGTCAGTTAGAAAAGCTGTGAAGTACTTCACAGCTTCATCTATGTTTAACCTACATATGTCTGTCCAACTCAAACGTGTAGTGTTGTGGAACTGTTCCCAGTCTGCTTTGTTTATCAGCCATTTGGGAACATGTAGAGGACATTCATATGTTGTTTGTGAACTCAACACTACAGGAAAATGGTCACTTCCATATGGATTGTTTATGATTTTCCATTTCAATAGGGGTAGAAGTGAAGGTGATACGATGCTGAGGTCTATAGACGAGTAAGTTCTGTTGGCAACGTTATAGTAGGTTGGCTCTTTCCCATTCAACAAACAGGCGCCGGAAGAGAAGAGCAATTGTTCAATGAGACGACCTCGTGCATCACAGCGAGAATCGCCCCACAGTCCACTATGTGCATTTAGGTCCCCAAGAAGCAAATAAGGTTCAGGTAGTTCGTCTATTAAAGAGTGAAATTCACGTCTTTCAAGACGGTGGTGGGGAGGTACATACAAAGAGCAGATGGTGACGAGTTTGTTTAAAAGTACCGCTCGAACAGCCACCGCCTCAAGAGATGTCTGGAGTGGTAAATGTGTACACGCTACTCCTTGGTTAATAATAATGGCTACGCCACCGGATGACGCCACAGCATCATCTCGGTCCTTTCGGTATATGACGTAAGCGCGTAAAAAATTTGTATTGGAGGATTTTAGGTGTGTTTCTTGTACACACAGCACTAAAGGTGAGTATTTGTATAAAAGCTCTTGTACGTCGTCGAGGTTCTTAAGCAGTCCTCTGACGTTCCAATGTATAATTTGTGTGTCCATATTGGAAGTAAAGTAGTGCTGTGTGTACGTTAAGGGAGTGACTTGTTTAAGCTGAAAGGTCAAGCTCAAGTACCAGGGCCATTGTCAGGCCCTGTTATGGGCTTTTTAGTTTTCTTGGCGCGCTCCAAAGAGCCGCGCCGTTCTTTTGGCACCAGGGGTGCCGCCGTATCCATTGCCTCCTCGGAGGCACTGGATGCCCGCTCATGCGAGCTGGTTTTTCGAAGGTTGGGCCTCGCCTGGCGGGGTGAGGCCTTGAGACCCGAGGACCCTGGAGTCCCTGGTCTCTGTTCAATAGTAGGCGGAGTAGACTCAACTACTGCCGCCTTGGGGGCAGGCGCCACAGCCAATGGCTCGCTCTGCGCAGGCCGAAGGAGTGGCGAGGGCTGGTGCGACACTGCCCCCAGGCGCGTCGCATCAGCATATGTGGGGCCATAAAATGGCGAGACTCTTTTTCTTGCTTCTTTAAATGTAATGTTTTCTTTTATCTTTAAAGTGATGATCTCTTTTTCTTTTTTTTCAGAAATAACAGTAACGTGAGTACGTGGCATGATTTCCACCACAGTTCACACAGCGTGATGGTTCTTCGCAATTGTCAGAATTGTGGCCTGACACTCCACATTGTGCACAAGTTTGGTGACCACGACAGCTTTGTGAGCCATGGCCATACTTCTGGCATTTAAAACAACGACGCGGGTTAGGTATGTATGGTCTGATTGACGTCTTTGTGTACCCTGTTTGAATACTTTCTGGCAGATTACTGGAAGCGAACGTGAGTATCAGGTGTTTCGTTGGTGTTACCTTGTTGTCTCTTCTAATGGTGATCCTTAGTACATTGGTCACATTCTGACTCTTCCACCCCTCCAGAAGTTCCTCTTCAGTCAAGCCTAGCAAATCGGCATCAGATACTACTCCACGGGTTGTGTTCATCGATCTGTCTGGCGTTACAGTGATGGGAGTGTCACCAAAAGTTGATAGATTCTGTAGCTTTTCAAACTGTTCTTTTTCTCGAACTTCAAGGAGGAGGTCTCTGCTGGCCATTTTAGTAACTTTGTACCCGGCTCAGAGAGTTTCTGTGAGACATCTGGCTACTACGAAGGGGGATACAGTTCTGGCTGGCTAGCTGCTTATCTCACTATGTATAACATGAAAATGGGGGAAGTTTTCACTTGATCGGTTGAAAAAGCCTAAGTCTTCGGTGCGTACACGCTTTAAGGCGGTACGATTACTTAATAAGGGGAATGCTCTATGCATGCCAGTTTAATTTTCTTCAGAAGCGTTGGCGGCCACCCACCACGGAGCCCAACGAGGGGACGCTACAAGTTTGCGGATGCTAAAACCTGCAGACGCCAGCCGTACAACGCATCTATAACCCAATGCGCCTAGACGCAGGTAGGCTATTTGCACAGGGTTAACCCTAGCCGCCAGGAAGTTTGGAAGTAAACGGAAGATAGTAGAAGACAGGACAGATAAATAGTAAGAGGTAAAGACGAAGATGTAGGGAGAGAGGGATAGGAAAAGGCGACTGCCGATTTCCCCTGGGTGGGTCAGCCCAGGGGTGCCGTCTACGTGAAGCCGGGGCCAAAGGGGTGTGTTGCCTCTGCCGGGGGGCCTTAAAGGTCCAATCACCCAGCATCAGCTCAACCCCCAGGATCCCCTTTTCTTCGGACACGGCAAAGCCACGCACGGCTAGGCGTGGGAGGGAGTAGAAACTCCCCCGTTAGCTCGGGTCCGTGGTGTCGCTACACACCAAACGCCTGCCTTAACAGGCGCCCCTGCGGGGAGCAGGTGCTGGCTAACTAACTTTATTTAGAGGAAAGGCTTTTCCCTCCGAAGGGGAACATGCATATGCGAAAAGTTTTGCGGAGGAGTACGATGAAAAGCTTCACAGTTTTCAGAGGTTCGTCGTAAACTTGCGGCGCAACAACGGCTACCTGCTTGGGCAAATCGGGAATGCCCATCAGACGCCTCTTTACTTCGACATGCCTGGCACCACAACCGTCGAGAAGAAGGGCGCGAAGCAAGTTCGCGTGCTGACATCGGTCCACGGTAAAACTACCGTGATGGAAAGCTCTGTTACACGTCAGATGGGCACAAGCTTCGCCCGTACCTCATATAAATAGAATACGCTCCCTAAAGGAGTAGTTTTTTCGAGTGGTGTGATCGTGCGGGCCGGCGAGAAAAATGGGTGCGCGTTGCAATTGATGTCTTACGTTTTTTTTTTCGCGGTGGAAATCGGGTGCGCGTTACAATCGAGGGTGCGGTAGAATCGAGTAAATACGGTAATTGCATATGCTTTTTGCATTAACAAACATTCTTGACAAGCTATTTTAGGAGATGAAATTCTTCAAGTGTGTGGAGTAAGTTCTATAATTTAATCACTGTAAAGTAGGATGTCATTCTGCCATAGTTAATGTATGTTTAGGTGTAAGGAAGTTGTAATTATGGGCAAACTTTGCACAATTATTATTTTTGAACATTTTATATAACTCAGTTCACACAAAAGCTAGTTTGAATACCGTTATGATTAAGTAATAACAAGTCAGATGCAAGTAGTATGAAGTTAGCCTAGACAAGGTGGGCAGCATTAGAGTAAAAAGAACTGTTGGTAATGTGTATGTCCTGAATGTTCTCCTGAATGTTCTCCTGAATTGAATGTTCTCCTGTATGTCATGTGTATTCTGAATGTTCTCTATTGGCAAAAGATTATTGTTATGCATATTTGCCCATGTAATAATGCTAGGTGATTTGACTGTTTATGAAAGCAGGGCAACAATAAGGCATCACAGAAGATAAATAAAGATTTAATGAGGGCTCGTACACCCAAGGCAGTTTTTTGTTTAGCATAAGCAATATGATGGGTGAACTTCACGTTAGGCTCAAGTTTTTGGCCTAGAAAACTCACTGAACTGCAGGAATTAAATTGTGATAGTCAATTAAAAGGGAGCTTTGTTTTAGAAACTGTATAAACCATGAGCTTAATTTTTTGTGGGATTAAAATTAGGTTGTTTTAATAACACAATGTAGAACACTGATCAGTTCGTTGTGCAGCTCAGTGATTGGGCTTTTAACAATTTATGGAGCATACGCTGGAAAAACAATACGGTTAAAAGTTTAAGCAGCTGTTATTGGGCTGAACAACGCACAAATGAGGGCTGATAGTTATGTTGTGTCTGAAAATAAAAAAAGTTTTGGAAATAATGGTTAACTTTCATACCTGGAAGCCATGCTGGCATATGTGTGCCTAAAATTTTTTATAGCTGATCGACTTTTCCTTTGTTCTGCCTTTTAGGGTTTGGGTGCCAGTGATGAACTGCCGCTGTTTTTCCAGGTGGACAATCAAGTAAGTAGCTTTACAGTAGCTTGGATAGTTAGGCTAGTTGGTATTCATTCACCTTTTAACTGAATAGGGGCACGTACAGATACTTGAACACCGCTTATGTTGTGTGCATTTTCTTCTTTTAGTGTCCGTCTCTGTGTGCATGTCCTTATTCAGTTAAACGATGAAGTAGCTCTACTTTTTGTAAATTTATGTTTATTCAGTGCAATACTTTCACTACTGGGTTGAATACATGGTTATGCAACTTACATTGCACTGTCACTTCTTTGTATGTTTATGCTTAGTTTATTCATCTACTACGGATAATTTTGTAAATTATGAACTGGTGAATTTAGACATTCAGAAGGTTATTTCACGAATGACCAGTGCAATCTTCTGCATTACCCTTTTTTGGAATGTCACGGCATTCAGTAAAAGCTTCATAAATATTTTTGTGACAAGTCCTAATGTCAGGAAAAGGGGGAATGAATTGAGGCTCTGTCTTTTTGATTCCTGAGTTCCTCATTATTGGAGTTAACAAAAGAAATTTTTATCTGCAATGTGCCAGAGCACTTTTTGTCAGTGCCAGCTCTAAGTGCCTTTTAGGGTGTCTGGTGGTGTTTAGTAGAATATTATGGACTCAACATTACTAACAACTGTAACACAACTGTAAGATATGTTACATAGTTGTTAATTTAACTTTCACACATATCTAGAGCACTCAAAATTGTAAATATGCTTTTTTCTTAAAATGTCTTTCAGCTTCTCACAAACTGTTCAGGTGAGACTTAAAGACAGCAATGATGTATGTGATTTGCTTTTCATTGATTATTGAAACGAATGCTTTTTTGTTTCGCTGGAGCCACATTAGTGTAAAATTTCTAAATAGGGATTGTGTCGATGTTTTTCTAACTTACTATGCCACCCCACTTTTTGCCCAGTCTTTTAGTATCTAAAAATTAATGATTCTCCTTGTGAAGGCTGGTGTAGTATTGCCGTTAATGAGCACTATATGCACCTGTAGACTTACATACATTCTGTGAACTGTATTTGCTTTAGAAAAAGAATATTTGGACAACGTTTAGTATGCCAGTGTTATACAAGATGGCATGCAGTTGCAGAAGTGAATTGTAAGATTCATACCAGCAAAACTATACTCGCACGACCAAAGAGCGCAAATAACATTTTCAAAAACAAGATATCTCTTGAGTCTTTTATTATGATTCCACAATTTTTCGCGCAGATTCACCTAGGAAACGGCATATTCCTGGAGCAGGAAAAATGGGCATGGCTGCTTTCGCGTCCGAGAGACAGCTTGTTCTGTAAGGAGGCGACCAAGCTTCTGTGGGGTGTGAGTGCCCTCCACAACAGGAGCATCACAGGAGCCCTTTGTCGGCGCTATGTGCGCTCAGAAAACCAGGCACCACCCAGGAGGGCACTCACGCCTAAGAAATTAGAGGTAGTCGGAAGTGTTTCATGCTTGATATATTTTGCTGAATTTACAGACAATAAAATTTATCATTTATATGAACCAGTAAGTCCCTAATTGCTACATATTCCTGCTCATTTTTACAGATGCCTTCAGCAAGTACATTGCTGGGAGACCTAGTGAAACGGCACCAATGGAGAGGTTAAGAAAAATGAACAGATTCATTGCTGAAATGTTGAACGACCTAAATAAATGAGTCATCAAAACATTACTCTAGCCTCATCGTGTTTATTTGATATCATTGCAGCATACCTACATTACATTGTTTATTTTACTGTGTGCTTCATGAACTAGCATGCCTTTCTTAATGTATACATTCTTTTACTGCATGTTAATTTTGACCCAAATAGCTAATACAACCCATATCACCTGCATAACCTGTAATACCCATACATTTGTTACACTTATACCACCTGTATGACCCGCACCACCCGCATGACCCGCACCACCCGCATGACCCGTACCACCCGCATGACCCGTACCACCCGTATGACCCGTGACACCTGTATGCCCCGTATCCAATAACATCGTATATACAGGTCCTGTACATGTAGGAATTTTCAGTAGGGTCGCTTAGGGTTCGTGCGGCAATCAGAAGCTCTGTGTCCAGGTCGATCACAGAGGAAACACAATGAAGTTGCGGCTGGGTCAATCTAGTCTTTTCGTGCTCCTTGGAAGTATTATTTTCTAGTGAGGTACAAAATACGAACAAGTTTCTTTGCCATTGGCCATTCATAAATGTATCAGCCACTTCTGCCATTTCTCCCACTGTCTTGCATTTCTTCTCCCTCTGTAACAAAGCCAAGTGGTCGCAAGAGTTATTCAGACACTGCTCGGCTATGATGATGTTGCGCATGTATTGAGAATCCTTGTGCATTTTCGACATCTTAAGCCATTTATTGAAAAAGCTTTGTAATCTTGCAGCGTACTGTTTACCAGTTTCGCCATCTTCCAGCTTGCTTTGTCAAAACTTTTCGCGGTAGCCTTCGACTGTTAAACTAAAACTCTCGATCAATGCCATTTTCATGCTCTGGTAATCCATAGACTATTTTGGTGACAAACGATCACACACATTCTAGACTTCCTCGCTGAGACACGCGGTTAGTGCTGTAGCCCACTTCTCCTCCAGCCACTTTTGCCCGACTGCTACGCGTTCGAACCTCTTGTTGTATGCATCCAGATCGTCTCGCCTCTCTTCAAACACTGGAATCAGATTTGATCAAGCACGGGTCGCTTTGACTCTTCTCGGGTTCTCGGTCACGCGTTGCTCGTTCTCGACTACCTTCAACCTCGGCTAGTCGAATACGCAATTGAAGAGTTTTCTCTTCTATTTCTAGGCGTTCCTTTGCCGCCTGCCTATCTGACACATGCTTCTCACGTGCTTGCAGAGATTATCAGCGCTGTAACAGCGCATCTACCCACGTCTTTACCTCGGGTTCTTCAAACCCCATGTGTTCCGCTAACGTGACGGGCTCTTGTTCAATCATCTTCACCAGGAGGATTTCAGCTCAGCGCAAACGGCTTCCTCCTGCTGCAGCGGACGCCATTTGAGAGGGCAGGCTCGACAATTTACAGCGGCTCTATTACTCGTTGGCGAGATTGACGAAGACATTTGCACGAGGGTAAAAAGATGTTTATGGCGCAAGAGGTGACGCCGGAGTTAGCCGTAATGAAGCGATGTGAAGTGACTACAATTAGGACCACTGTTCTTGGGTCAGTTAATGCAATTCCCCAATACACTGAATAAGGCTGGCAAGGCTTCACCATATGCGGGTCAGGCCTGTTTGGTAGACAAGTCACTGCATAGAGTCTCATGCCGACGGCTGGAACAGGACAAGTGCGACGGATATCCAAAAGATTCGATGTCTTGGAGAGAACTGATCTCAAACCCAATAGTCCCAGCTGTAGGAACCAGTTCCCGGGTCCCAGCAGAAGGGACCAGCGCCAGCTACCAGAACACCAGTCGAGGCGGACGATCCACGGATGGACAGCAGGCCGCGGTCGGCTTCGGCACCAGGACCCAACAAGTTTCTCGGCCTGCAACTGCCTCCCCGTGAAATTTTTCAACTCCCGTGTTCTCTCTTCACTACTTTCCCTGCCAGTCCAGCTTGGCTGCCTATCACAATCTAGTCTTCAGCGTGTCTTGCCGTCGTCTTCGCCGATGCCATACACAGCACCAAACCAAAACCACCACGCACCACACGAAAGTACCGCACACCACATGACTTCGGTCCACTCGACGGCCCGAGGCACGGCCTCTCAAGATAATCACTGCGGAAGCCGTCGCCTTGGATTTCTTCATCGCCTGGATTGCTCGTTTCGGCGCCTCCAGCTGTGTAACCAGCGACCAAGGACGACAGTTCTAGTCGCATGTGTTAAGCTTTTCTGACTGACTATCAGTTTTGAACGCTTGAGGGCCACAAGTTAAGACTCATGTGCCAACAGAATAATTGAGCGTTCGCACCGACAGTTCAAGGCAGCCAATATGTACCACCATGACTCAACCTGGTTCGAGGCCATCCCGGCTGTCACCTTCGGTCTTCACACCACTTTCAAGCCGGACATCCATGCCACACCAGCAGAGCTCGTATACGGGGAACACTCCGCCTCCCAAGTGAATTTCTCTATGCTCTGCCTTTCAGCACTTCGACGTCAGACCCCACCGACTTCAACGCCCGGCTCAGACACACCATAGCCGCTTTACGCCCGTCACCTGCAGCCCACCTCAGAAAGCCTACATATTTTGTGTTCAAGGAGCTAGCATCGTACACGCACTCGTTCCTACGTGACGAAACCGTCCGCCGACGTTCCCGGCCACCCTACAGCGAACCCTACCTAGACGTCCATCGCAAAGACAATAACTTCACTGTGCGCCTAAGCGAGAACACCGTTCGCTTCTGGATTGACCGACTCGAACCCGAATACATCAACGCTAACGAACCCAATACCGCCACTCTTTTCACTGATATCCTTCCACAGCCACAGACGTGTACACAGCCAGAGAGTTATATTTTCACCTACTTTTTTGTCTTGACATTTACATTACAGTTATGTCTAATAACTTCCCCGTATACTTTTCCTGGCAATGTTGTGCGTTAGATCTCATTATTATTGTGTCAAAGCACGGGAAACGAGCCCTAAGTATACACTTCTTTCCCTTACTCATGAACGAGGGTCTCGTACTGGCAGACTCGCTGCCTTTAGGTTGTATATGGTGGACTAGTGGTCAGCTGCTAGCTCGTAATAGGTTAACGTGCTACGTGACGCCAAATAGGCTCATAAAGAGTGTGCTATACTCGCCGCCATGGCTTCTGTTGGCGTTAACTGACACTCCCACGTTTAAATTCACATATATATCCAATAAAGTGGCTGGGAGGATAGCCGCCATCGCACCTCAGAGGTAGAGCATTGAACGCGTTAGTCGAAGGTCGCAGGTTCGGTTCCTTGCTAAGACAAAATATCTTTTCACCCACTTTTCTTGACATTTACATTACAATTCTGTCTAATAACTTCTCTCCTATACTTTCTTTTGTATTATTGTCTGGTACATATTATTATTGTATCAAAACCTTGAAAGTCGAGCCTTTAGGTATACACTTTTTTCTCTCACTCATTACGAGGGTCTCGTACGGGCAGACTTGAAGCTTTTAGGTTGTATACGGAGGACTATTTGTCAGCGGCAAGCTCGTAATAAGTTCACGTGCTATGTGCCGCCAAACCAACTCATAAAGAGTGTGCTACACTCGCCACCTTGGCTACTGATAGCGCTGACTGAACCTCCCAAGTTTAGGTTCACATTAATACCCAATAAAGTGAATGGAAGGATAGTTTCCGTGGTAGCTCAGTGGTAGAGCATCGAACGCATTATTCAAAGGTCGCTGGTTGGGTTTCTACCAATGGCAAGCTGTCTTTTCATCCACTTTTCTTTCTTGACAATTGCATTACCATTCGATCTAATAACTTCTGCCTAAACTTCCTTTTGGCCCCGCCATGGTCGTCTAGTAACTAAGGTACTCGGCTGCTGAACCGCAGGACGTGAGATCAAATCCCAGCTGCAGCGGCTCCACTTCCTATGGAGGTGGAAATGGTGTAGGCCCGTGTGCTAAGGTTTTGGCGCAGGTTAAAGAACCCGACGTGGTCAAAATTTCTGGAGCCCTCCACTACGGCGTCTCTCATAATCATATGGTGGTTTTGGGACACTTAAACTCCTAATATTAATCAATCTTTATGCTTTCTTTGGCATTATTTTTGTTCGCTCTGATTAGTATTGTGTCAAAACACGGAAAAATGAGTCCTTGTGTATACACTGATATATATATATATATATATGTATGTATGTATGTATGTATAACGTGGGCTAGGATCGCAACAAATTAAGGACCATCTCGCCCAAGCAAGCCCTGTTGAAATGCGGAAATGCAAAGCAGTATCGGTCCGCACGGAGTTGACCTTGTTGAAACGGGCGTCATTGCAGGTGCTGCGTGAACGGTTTGGTGTGAAACTTGGTGTAGCGTTTACTCGAGTGAACGTTTGTTTGAAGCAGAAAGACGCGGGAGGCTGGTTAGGTTTCCTGTAAGTTTCATCGCAGAAAGACTGAACGCTCAATGTGCTCTCAAACATTGCGCACAAGGTGTGAAACGAGAGGGACCACACGTGAGGCGACCGGCTAAAAAGAGAGTGACGTTAACGTGCGCGCACTGTGAGGGAAGGCGTGGCTTACTTGGCACTGCCCCAACACCTGCGGGCAGGGTTAGTGCGCTACGGACGGAGGGACAGCATTACACAGG